ATGGGTTAGAGATGCATGAGAAGGTGCATACTGGGGAGAAACCATACAGTTGTGCTCTGTGTAGTAAGAAATTTGGAACAAGTAGTAACTTGAAGGTACATGAGAGAATACACACTGGAGAGAAACCATACAGTTGTGTAGTGTGTGGAAAAGAATTTGGAAGAAGTGATCAATTAAAAACTCATCAGCAGGTTCACACTGGAGAGAAACCATACAGTTGTGCTGTGTGTGGGAAGGAGTTTGGAACAAGTAATGGATTAGAGATGCATGAGAAGGTACATACTGGGGAGAAACCATACAGTTGTGCTTTCTGTACCAGGAAATTTAGAACAAGTAGTAACTTGAAGGTACATGAGAGGTTACACACTGGAGAGAAACCATACAGTTGTGTAGTGTGTAGGAAATGAATTTAGGAGAAATGGTCATTTAAAAATTCATCAGCAGATTCACACTGGAGAGAAACAAAAGGCTTGTGCTGTGTGAGGCATGGAATTTCTAACAAGTAATGACTTAAAAGTGGAAGACAAGGTAATATTTGAGTAGAAACAACAAAATTGCAGTTCCTAGGACAGGAATTATACAAATTCTTCATCTCTCGAAAAAAAAAATCAGATTACTGATAGTAAAGTGGGGAATATATTGACCCCAAAAAACCAGTGTGTTGGATATACTGATGTTCTACACACCTTGATGGCAAAAGCCCCTCCTCATTATTTTGCCTGACCCACATCACCATAGAGTTATGAAGTTTTTGGCAAATGAACTAGCATACATTATTACATAAAAAAAGCTAAATGGATGTAGTGTATGGCTAAGAATTTTCAACTAAAAATATTTAAAGAAACATCAATACATATACCCTCAAAAGAAGCAACAGTTTTTGATTAGGGCTTTTTGGGGATTTGACATTCAAGATGTTAAATGTCAAAGTTACATTTTTTTTTTTTGTTGCATTTGAAGCTCTGAAAGTACTAAATGTACAATCACGGAACTTCAACTGCATCAGAGGATACAAACTGTATCCAAGGAAGCATTAGATGATTGACACAAAAGGTAAATATACATTTTTGTAGTGTATGTTTAAGAATTTGGATGCACTAGTGGCCTAAAATGGCATCAGAGAATACAAACTGTAGAGAAGATATACAGGTATGATGTTTGTTGCAAGTTAATATTCTTATTTAAAGTGCTTACAATTAACTGAAAAGGTTAAGTCAAACATTTTTTGTGTGTGTGGCAAAACTTTATCAAATAAGTTGTTTGGCAAAGACAAAATGCATGATTAACAGAATTGTTTCTGCTTAGTTCTTCATCTTTTCAAGAATTGGATTTAATACTGTATCAACATAATGAAGTTTTTACATTTGTCGTAGAAGTGCTTATTATATTTCTTTTTCCTGTAGCATTTCACTTTCCACTAAATATTAAAAGGTCCAAAACAAAGATAATACATAAAATCTGTGTTTTCAGTTGGTAATCGTAATAGAAGCTGATACCTTTCTTGCATTTATTGTTTTGTAGTGGAGAACATCATGCCTTAAAGTTTAATGATAGTAAAGTAGATCAGAATAATTATTAGATTTGACAATTAGTGATTCCTGCTTAATTCTAACTCACATTAGATACTGGAAGAAGCTTGGGGCAGGGCGAAAGTTATATACAACTAACATTGTACGAGTTTAGAATGTTCCACTTCTGTAATCATGTTCCAGTATAAATTAGTGGTGGCAAAGTTCACCAATGCTATAAATATAATCAACAACTGGTAATATATCTATCATATCCAGGAAAAAAACATCACAATAATCTTGATGTGATAAAAAATGCTTCAGTTCAATTTAAAATACACTTACTAACTTGCTTGCAGTTAAATGATATCCTGGAAAATGAAAACAATAAGGTACAAGATTACTGTTCCTTCAGTAGGCAGTATCTTGATATGATTTACCAGTGTGAAATAATTAAACATTCATGTTTTAAAATGTGATTAATTAGTTGTGAGGTCTATATTATTTTGAAAGTTTACTGATTTTAAGACCAGTTATTAAATTGGGAAGTTTATAAAGATATTTATTCAGTGTAAGTGAGATATTTGCTTTACCACCAGACTGTAACAACTGTTGTGTTAACCAAATGACTGAATTGAAAGTTAAGTTCCTGTATTGGGATATATTAATCAGTTATGTAGTGGGACTTTGGGTTTCTTAAGTCTAAAAGATATCCAGCTTGTGTTCCTTTAATTGCAGTGGAAATACTACAAATATTATAAATGTTGATGCTTCAGTCATTCTTTTTTACATATGTTTGTATTGTTAGCTGATAGAGCAAACATTAATGTGAAGCTAAATAAGAAAATTTTGAAAAATTTGGCTCGTGCTTTACTAAGCTTAACTTAACTTAAGGACTAATGATGGTATTTTTTAGCACTTTGTAACACAAAACACACTGGAGAAAAACCTGTTTGTTTAGTGTTTGTATGGTGAAAAATTTCCTATTAAAAATATTTAAAGAAATATTAATATGTACATTTGAGGAGAAAAATAATTGGTATAGGTATAGTATTGTAACCCCTATGGCAGTATCAGTTCCTAGTATTTGTGTTCAAGTATTTAGAATTACCGAAGTAATTACTGATGAAAAAACTCGCAGAATTGTTTACTTGAATAATGCTTTCCATTAATTTCAACAAGTACTGTCTTTGGTTGCATAGAACTATGAAAATAAAACTTCATAAGTTAACCTCATGTGCAGAGGTGGGGTTAAAAGTGTGCATGCCATGATTTATTTACAGACTATCATTCAACATGATATTTAGTTTTTAATGTCAGAGTTATCAACTATTCATTTTACCCCACCTTGCTGATTTACCAGATAGTGGTAATTAAATACCAGATACAGTATACAGGGATGGTGAAAAAAAAAACTGTAGGTATACATTTTGGAGGTTTTAGAGGGTATGAAAATGCAATATGGAAACTTTATGATTGATACCACTTCTTTGATCCAACCTGTGGATCAAGGGATCATAGCTACTTTTAAAGCATATTACGTGTGATGCATCTTCAGACAAATAATCAGGGCAGCGACAGAAACACCTTGATCAGAGATATCTGGAAATCATTCAACATCAAGGATGCCACAGACAACCTAGCAGAGTCTTGGAAGGAAGTTACCACCTCAAATATTAATGGCATTTGTAGAAAACTGTGGTCAGAATGTGTGTACGATTTTCAAGGCATCCCTGATACAGAACCTGTTGTTAAAGAAATTGTGTCAGTAGCAAATCAGGTTGGCTTTAATGGAATTGAAGAGCAAGACATCACTGAGTTACTGGCATCACACCATGAACAACTGACCAATGCAGAACTTATGAACATTGACCAAAAACAGACTGCTAATGAAGAGAGAGACGAGGAGGAACCAGAGCCGCAATTGTTTTTAACACAGAAAATACTGTCAGATTAATTCTCCCTATTTGATCAAGCTGTGGAAATCCTGACTAAAAGTGACCCAAATTGTGATCGAACCTTTGAACTTGAATGCAATGTTGAAAGTACCCTAACCTCCTATAAAGAACTTTATAAAGAAAAAAGTAAGCATGCTGAGCAAACAACATTAACAGCATTCTTTGGCCAACCAAAGTCTGCACCAGTACTTCCTGCTGCATCTAGCCATGACTATGATGTTGACACTTCTGCTCCAGTGGTTTCTCTTGCCCCAAGATGATGGCTGCAAAGCAGATCCTTCTGCTCCTATCTTTGTTGATGAACTACCATCAACACTACCAAGTGTTGAGGAAATGTTAACTCACCTGCTCCAATGGATCCTCTTGCCAGTCTTCCTGCAGCCCACGATGATGACTGTGAAGCCCCTTCTCCTACCAGTCAGTAACATCATACAACACCCTCCACCCACACCATCATCTTATGTGTCAACCACTTCACTTTCTTTTACGTACAGTACTTAATTTGGATGTAATAAATTTATCACTGGCTTATATTCTTTGTTTACCTCAAAAACTATCATTTAAATATGTTCACTGTCAGTTTATTATTGTTTTTTCCATTGAAAATGTATCTTCAATTATATAATGGTAGTCAATGGAAAAATCTACCTCACTCTAAGAACATAACCCTTTCTTAAAGTGGGGTCCACCTGTATTGCTAATTATTTTGGTCAACAACACTGAACTGTTGCCTAGTGAGCTTGTCTTGAAACCAAGAATTAGAAGTAGTTCATAATATTTACCTTTGAGGTGAAGTGTTAATTATTTCAAGAGATAGATGGGATAGTGTTTGTTACGTCTTTATGCTATCCTATCCATGCAGTGAATTATTCAGATATCATTCACTTCAGTCTGGAAAAAAAACTTCTTTTGTGATCTGATACCAGTCACTTTACAACAAAAATTTATTTTTAAATGTCCTTCTGACATCATCTGTTTATACCATAAAAACCTCCTTCCTTGATATATTCTTACACTATTTATTGTGTTACAACAATTCCTGCATAATTTGTTTTCATAATGTACTATGTATCATCTACAGAAATATGCTTTCAAATGTCATTTCCCTAAGATGGAAATCAATGACAACAGTATCAATCCATCTTCCAGGTATCTGTATTGTTTAAGATTCATGTATATAGATTTTTAAGTTGATATCAATATATTTTGCAGTTTATTGTATTATACAGCATAACTAGGAGTTACCAAAATTGTGTGTGTGTATTATATGCTTATTAATAACTTTATATTTTTATCTATCTTCTGATTGCAGATTCAATGACATACACAAACAACAGCTGTGGAAAAAGTTTCTCTTGAGAAAAACAGACTTAATATTTAGGAAAATATTAACTCAACCATATCTAAATTTAAATCTGACAATTTTAGGAATGTGTTGTAAAGAACTTGGAAATTTTTGTTTCCTACAAATGATAAAGTTCTTTATATCTACCTTTTAACTCTTGATCCAGAGACATTCATGGAAAGCTAATGTGGAAATCAGTTTTCTGGCTGTTGTAGTGGAACACTTAAAGACTCCATTACAAATGCCATCAAAATCTCAGAAACAGAGCAGTGGTGATAATTATTGATGGGAAATAACCTGCAAAAAATCACATTCAACATATTACAACTATAACAACTTACTGAAAAAGAAATTAGAAACATAAATTCATGAAGAGAAACTATAAACTTGTGCAAAGCATTTAAAAGAAATATTGCCCAAAAAATATAACAGAGGATGTATACTGTGGAGAAGTTACGTTTACAGAATTTGCCGTTAAAAATGGAGTCGGTTATCTCCTTAAAATGGACTTCTCTAGTTTTTGGCAAAAAAAAAACTTTCTCTGAGGTATTTAAAAAATATTAGTGGATACTTGAGTTGCCAAAACAAAATTACTGTTATAGAAAATTCTACACTGCTAAAACTTGTTGAAAGAATGTTGAAATACTTATAGCAGAAATGAACCATGTATGTAAATATGTGTAGCAAACAAATTAGAACTTGAAAGATTTACACTGGAGGGATTAAAAACCCAACAATATTGTGTAGAATGTGTGTCTAATGCTAATTGAAACCTGTAAGATTTAATTAATTATGGGGGAGAAACAAATCATATGTTGTGTCTGACAGGGATTTTACACACTATATGGTTATTGTGTTGGTAAGAAGAAATGTTCATAATACAAACTCAAATTAATTTAATTACAGATAAGCCAACCATTTGTAAAAGTAGTTGGTAAAGAACTTAACATGAAAAATTGGGTAATGTGATAAAGAGATTGTCCAAATGTTAAGAAAGGCTGATAATTTGTAATGTTTGTCAGTTGTTTGTGACAAGATTTCTATCCTCACTTACTTACTTATTATTTTCCCTATTGACTCAGCAGGAAATCCTGAAGGCTAATAAATAATGCTAAAAAAATCTTGATTTTGATACCCATGGTGGGCACAGCATAGGTAACTCATTGTGTAACTTTGTGCATAACTACAAACAAAAATCATTTATAGATTGAATTTTGGAAATTTTAAGATAATTATATTTAGGTTTTGATTATTAGATATTTTGGGTAATTTGGATTAGCAAGTGACATTACTATGTAAATTAGGTTTAGTTTCTCCTTATAATGCTTTGTGTTATTGATTAACATATTTATAAAACAGCCCTGCATGGAACCTTCAGAGCTGGAGTATTACAGCTTAGGTATCACAGTAAACTACAGTATCTTTATAAAACTCCTGTTATTACCATGATGAGTTTGTTACATTTATCTGATAGAAGACTTTGTTAATTTCCTCTAACAGTATCCCATATAGCACATGCACATAAGACATGTTATAAAATAATCCTATATCAGTGTTAGGAAAGTGAAAACTTAATACATTCAAGATGCTAAATAAAATTGTTTTATTTACGTACCTTACATACTGTTCTTCATTTCATAAAACTTGCTTCGCTGCTTTGAATCAAGGATATTAATTTCATTTATCATTTTGTAAAGTTGTAAGGATATTACAAGATAAGTAATTATATTGTTACTTAGCTTTTGATTTGTGCATAATTTACTTGTTAACTTGTAGATCATTATATTTAACTTTATAAAGTAACCTAAGTAATTTACATGAATTATCTTGATATAAAATAATAATTTATTGATTAAAGGAAATTGATATTCATAGCCCAATATAATTACAAACAAATAAATTATGCAATACCTTTTACCAGAATAGCTGCTAAAATTCTACAGTAATAATTACAATTGATGATACTCTTAATTATGTGTAACAGGCAAACTACAAAAAGCATCATTGCCCACTTTGCGTAACTGTTTGTAGGAACATAACAAGTAATTGCAGTGTGCTGTAATTTATTAAAGACAGTATATTATGGTCATCTTACAGTAAACTTCAGTTTTATTTCTAAAATTTGGTCACATTAGGGATTTAAGTGGCCCGATATACAGAAGAATACTATGGATTATACCTCAATCAGCAGTGAGCAATTTGTTATGTACACAGTTATTAAAAATGTTTATATAATGATTTATAACCAAATCTTCTGTATTGGATAGTAGGAAGTCTTTAGTATAACCCATATAAAATACTCAATTTTGACAACAGTGATATATATATATATATATACACATGTATATATGATTTTCTGACCAAGAAATTTTATATAACAATGAAGTGTTTTAAAGAAAAACATCAGATTTACTTGACCTTTTAAGGTAAAATGTTTATTAATTTTTGGATATAATTATAAAATCTTAAAAAAATGAGAATAAATGGAACTAATGGTCAAATGTATTAATAAATCACTTGCTGTACCCTGTAAAAACATTCCTCATTGTGTGTTCTGAAATCATGCTCTTTACATTATTAAATTTTAAGTTCCTTGTGCGTTGTATTGTTTTTGGGACATCATCTCATAGTACACTGAAACTTACTTATATCATTACTTAGTTTTATTGTTCCTTAAAAACTCTTTCGTGGCATATTCTAAAATCATCGATTTCATCATGAAAACATGATTATTTTTTTTTTGTTTCCACCACTTCATCAACAATCTGTGTTTTGATTGTCATGTAGAACCAGGGAGGTACCCTTTTTGAGCTTTGAAACTTTTTTTTTAATAATATATATTTCTGGAACTTACAAAGGTAAAATTTTCTTGTAGGTACAATCTTTGTCTTCAGGAAAATACTATCATTCTGTTTTGCAGATATGTTTTGTATAATGTCTTCATATATATATATATATATATACACACACACACTTCTCAAAGTTGATTTTAATGTTGGGAATGGGTCTTACTTTGCATATTCTTATGGCTAGTGTATCAAACTGGAAATTTGAGAAATGGTGCTACCAAGTATGCTTCACATTTTCCACTGGTAGTATTATAAGAAGGACAGTCAATCTTACTATTCAGTTAAGAGTAGACACTCCAGGTGACAGTTGCCACATATGGTTGCATTTCCTTTGGTGTACAAACTCAGAATAGCCCTTGTGTAGCTTTGTGCAAATAACCAAAACAAAGCTTTTAAAAAGCTAATATATAATGCACTTAAAAAAATTAATGTAGTGATTTGAATCCATCTCTTAATTTTAATTCTAAAGTTTATGAATACTATATCTTTAAGTAGAAAGTTCACTGGATTATAATAAAAAAAAAGTTAGAAATTCATTGGTGATGTAATTTGCAAAGTACTAAAAAGATGAAATTAAAAACAATGTCGATCAGATTATTCACATTAGAGATACCACTGTATAGTTGTATATGACAGT